TTCCTTTTATATTTCTGTTTATTTTTTGTGGACATATTTTCACATTTGTGAATATCTTGGTGAAATTGTTAACAATTTTGGAAATCATGAACATTTTTTTAAACTCACGAACATATTTGAAATCAAGAATTTTTAAAATTTTTGTTTTTTTAAAAAAAATTGCAAACTTTTCTAAAAATCACGGACATTTTTTGAAGTCATGAACATTTTATACTATTTACTAATATTTATATAGAATTGTGAAAAATTTTAATTTTTTTTGAATCTGTGAACATTTTTAGAATCAACGGACATTTTTGTTTTTGGAGATTGGTGGAACAAATTTTCAAATTCTTGAACATTTTTTTTGATTCAACGAAAAATTTCTGAAATTCATGATAATTTTTTGAATCAGCAAATATTTTATGAATCAAGAAACTATTTTGTAATTCATGAACAATTTTTGAACTTTCAGGACATTTTTAAAAATTCATGATTTTTTTGAATTAGCAAACCTTTTAAATTTCTTTTGAAAATAATACGTGAACTTTTTCTCAAAATCTTGAATAGTTTTTTATTTCCTGACAATGTTTGTCCAAAATCGGGAACAATTTTTGAAAATGGCGAACTTTTTTGAATCCACAAAAAATTAATGATTTACTAAACATTTTATCTCAAAATTCTCAATTTTTAAAATTTTGGAACTTTTTTTGAAATACCAATTTATTTAAAGTAGAAAAAAACAACAGCAAAGAAAAAGAAAAAAGAATAACCAGATTAAAAAAACAGGCCGACCGCACATGGGTGGCCCAAACGGGCGCGTTGTGTCTTCTCCCAGTACGTAAACCACCGTATAGGAGGTCCCTACTGTGTGGGATGGCCCAGACGGGGTGTTCCCCTGTGTGAAATGTTTTTTTGTCACTTATAGGTTGCATCGGTGGGTAATATTTTGTAATTTTGGGGCAATTTCGTGACGAACAGGCAGAAGTACTAATCCCTTTATTAGTAGGTACATATAGGCGTCGATATGTGGTTGGTCCAAGACTCAGTACAAACCAAAAGCGCATGTGTATCCTAGGGGAGGCAAAGCTGGCCAAACGTGTCGGCCTGGCATGGCACGGTACGGCCCACCCTAATTGGGCATGTCATGACACGACCCGTTGTGGCATGATTATTAGTCGGGTCGTGTCGTACCAGTCCGCATGTTGTGTCCTCTAGCCTAGACACAACCCAGTTAATAAACGGGCCGGCTTGTGGTACGTTTAGCACACTAGGCAGCATATTTTTTTGCCTGTTGAGCTATTTTTTAGGCCTATTCAGCTATATTTTAGGTCATCTATTTAAAAAATATTTGATTTTTTTATAAAAAAAATATGTTGTGTTGGCCCGCGTGCCCAACCTTTAGGCCTAGGCATGGCTCAAGGCATGCCGCGTGTCAGGCACTACCCGTTTAGCCTGTGTCGTGCCTGGCTCATGGCGGGGCGTGCTAACGTGCCGACCTGACAGGCATGACCCAGGTGGCCAAGTTTGGGAGGGAAGGACCCGACGCTATTTTCTTTTACCTTCTGTATTTCTCTAATATCCCACCGCCCAAGGACAACATCTCAAGACGATCCCCGTGGTGAGATGCCTTTTTCTCTGGCTGGATCTCCGCCCTTACATACAATTACCTCTGACGATAGCCAGTTGCATGTTCACAATCAAGACACAATTATCTTTTCACAACGGTTAATTGTATGTCTACGCTTGATACACAACTGTCCCAACTGTTAATGAGTGTCATGTGTGGCGTTAAGGAAAGAGCCAAACGGCAACGTTTTCTATTTCTCTTACCTATATTCCCACTTTACAAGACAATCCCTCCTAGGCAAAGACCCGACCCAGTTGTATGTTCATCCTTAACATGCGATTCACCCGACCCAGTTGCATGTCCATATTCAACACACAACTTACACCCTGACACCTAGCACCAGTTGCATGTCCGTCCTCGACATGTAGCTTGGCCCTACCCTTCTCGCAAAAAAAAAAACTTGGCCCTACCCGACGTAATTGTATGTCCACCTTTCGACATACAACTCATCCTGCCTAGTTTCATGTCTACCCTTGACATGTAACTTGCCAGACTCTGACCCAGTTGCATGTCCACCTTGCTCGACCAGTTATCGCCCGTCACCAACGCACGAGGGGACTCGATCAAAATCTAAAGTCCTACTGTCTAACATAAATTGTTTTTAACAACTTAATTTTTTTTGTTGCAACACACGGTCTCTTTTGCTAGTTCTCTATGAAGGAAGTCATAACTTAAAGGCTCAAACTTTGTTGACCCTCATTTAGAGGCCATGTAGTATACAGAATAAATACTAGCGCTGGCGGCGGCAGCATGCAGCAATGCAGGTGATCACAACAAAACCAGTTAGTCCTTTAGTGAACATAACATTAACATTATTATGGGCTGGAGAGGGGGCATTAGCCCCCTCCCCCACACCCCTCCCGCGATCACAATGACTATGAGTGTGAGGAAGACGAAGATGAAACAAAGGGCAACACTGGACCTGGAGCTTCAGCCCGTGACGGGGGTGGCGCCACCGCCGTCACTCGACACGTACCACGTCCCCTACTGCTCGACGAGACCTCCTTGGACCATTATATTATCGGTGACCCCATGTGCAGCCTCCCGACCCTCGACACTTATCTTGAGTAGCTTCTCTCAGCGGAGCAGCCAGACGATGACTTACTGTGTACGCCTCGTCTAGGATGTATGACCTGCTGGGTGGTAATACGTCTTCAATGTATCTGCTTGTCCCGACAAGTCCTAGCCTTGACGAGGTTGTAGTAGAGCTTCGAAGAAGGTTGAATTTGGATGTACGAAAGTGATGGAACTGACTTGATCGGAAGGTATAATGTTTGGTTTGGACAACACATTCATTGGAAGAGAATGCATCTTGTCTCCTAGTTTCATTGGGAAGCCTATAAGGAGAGTGTCTTGGCCTCACAAGATAAATCATTCGAGTTATTTGCCGCAAAGAAGGTTGGTGTTCTGTTGCACATTGACTTGAATCGGCGTGCATCTTCATGTGATGTTAGTAGCCTCATTCGGGATGATCCACATGTCAAACCGGAGGCCGATGTGTACGACACAACAATGATCCAACCTCCATTGATCAAACCTTTGAGCCACGTCTGAATGACCAACATGATAAGGAAGACTTGGACATGAAGGGTGATGAGTTCGATAATGATGAATCGGAGGCTTATCCTCATGACTATTATGTTGGCGATGTGGAGGCAAATTGCATGGAAGAGGACATGGACCATGCCATTCAATATAATATATTATATGTGGGGGACTCTGAGGACGAAAGATCGGATGAAGAAACAAATGAGGATGGTTTGATAGCCAAATAAGCCAAAGCTTTCAAGAAGGTAATAGGTCGGGATCACGAGACGTCATTTTTCCGTGATCTAAGCCTAGCCGATAAGGCTATTATTTATGGTGGCACAAGTAAAATTCTTGCATCAAGGTGATCTTCAAAGCAAGATAACGGGCCAAGTGTGTATGGTGTTACTGAAGGAACAACCTTTGAAATCTTGGTAGAACTTCAAACATGGCTCAAGGATTATGCGGTTAACTATCATCGACCATTCATGGTGAAATAAATAGCGGAACAAGGACTCGAACCATAGTCACGTTGAAGGAGCCCGCATGCACTAGAAAAATAAAGGAAGGTGCCCTTTTATTTGTTAAGCGGGTTTTCTATAAAAAAACTTAGAAACCTATCATCGATCCTGCAAATCCGATACTCGCTATGAGACTCCCATATGAGCCGCACACGTGCTTCTTGGAATATTTAAAGAAGAGAGCGTGCATAGTTGATTGGCTCTAACTTATCCGTGATGTTGGAAAATAATAATTCCAAGAGTAGTGAAGGCAAAGGTGATCTTTAAAGAAGCGAACGTTACCGGTGACGATTTGTGGGGTATTTAATTAAATAATACTTTGATTCGCGTGGCAACGCCTACCCATTTAGTGTTGGATCGTCGTCCCATGAAAAACGTGTATGAGGTGTGTGTGGGGCGCAACATGGCTTCACGTGTTCAATAACAATCATGCCTAGCAGTTGGCACCCGGCACCAACGCGCTCCAATCCTATGTGCCACCTAGCAAATGCCCACCTTGCTCGACCTGTTGCCGCTCATCACCAATGCACGAGGGGACTCGATTGGAATCAAAATCGAAGCCTAAAAGTCCTTATTGTGTCTGACATAAATTATTTTTAAGGACTTATTTTTTTTCGTTGCAACGCACGGGCTCTTTTACTACTTCCTCTGTTCACTTTTATAAGGCCTTGAAGACATTTCAGACAGGGTATAAAGTAGCTTATTTTCAGTTGTCTGAAATGACTTATAAAAGTGAACGGAGGGAGTAGTAATATTAATCGCATTAATTCTAATTTAGAAACAACATTAATTGCATTAATGCCAATCAATCAATTTGTTTGGAATCAACATTGATTGTTGTTAACCACAATCTCGCGGGACATACTTTGGACGCATAGGTCTCAAAGTACTATCAAATTGAACGTGTGTCCCACATGCACGATTAGCGGTGCACGTCGAGCAAAAGCACAGGTTCGAAGAATCCAAATGATCACAACCATTTAACTACCTGTATGCAATGTCTCAGGCTATTCTGATGATGTATCCATCACAATATTAACTGTATTAATCGTAATTTGGAAACAACACTAATTGCATTAATGGCAATTAATCTTGAAATCAACAATGATTGCAGCTTATATTTTAGAAACAACACCCACTATCCAGCTGGATCAAATTGGTGACATCTCTCGCGGAAGCTCAGCCAATCCATGTCATCTCCTTTCTCCGTTCCTTCCACTTTCCTTTTCATACCTCTACTACTATTATTTCCCAGCCTTCTATCTATCTATCTATGAACAAATACGAGCTGCCAAACGTGAAGTCAAAGTCGTCGTCCACGCACCGCTGATGTGCCTGTATGGATGTATCCTCTCTCCACACGCTCCACCTTTTGTCCTACTAGTGCTGTTCCCAGCTCGCTCACCGCTGACCAGCACCCACCGGCACCAGCGCAGCGGCCAACCACCATGCATCATCCCTCGCCCTTCCTCCTCCTCCTCCTCGCCGCCTCGCCTCTGGTCGCCACCGCGGCGACGTTCAACTGCGTCGGCGGAGTTTACAAGGCCAACAGCACCTACGAGGCCAACCTCCACCGCCTGGCCGCCGTGCTCCCGGCCGAGACCGCCGCCTCCCAAGACCTCCAGGCGTCCCGCGGCGTGGGGTACTGGCCCAACCGGCCGCGGGCCTCCTCGCGGTGCTACTGGGGCGTCGGCTCTTCCTCCTGCGCCGCCTGCGTCGCCGGCGCCTTCCGGGAGGCGGAGAGGGCGTGCCCGTACGGCAAGAAGGCGGTCGTCTTCGCCCGCAACTGCACGCTCAGTCTCGCCGATTTTCCTCGAGCTCTCGGCTTCCGTGAGTTCTCTTCCTTCATCTTTTTTCCAGAAGATAATTAGGTTGGATCCACAGATTATTATTTTTCTGCCCACATTAGTCTCTCATCTCATCTCATTAGGCCGTGCTAAATGATCTCATGCATCTTGTGGCGGTCCAATTTTTTTACTTGGTTTGGGATCGATTGCCGCACTGACCTTGTGGCTGTGGCAGACCAACATTACTAGGATTAGAGCCTCTTAGGATTAGGAATTTAGGATTATTGTGAGCTTGTTTAGTTAACAGACCACACTTGCATGCGCTTGTGATTACTCGTGGAAGAAATTAGAAGTTCAAAAGCTATTTGCCCATAAAATTGTTGTACACGAGAATGTGTGTCTAGAGTCTAGACGGTGGTAAGACGGTAAGAGCATCTCTCTAGCAATTCCCTACAAACTTGACTCCTCAAAGAATCCCTCAAGACCAATAATCCTAGACCTACGAAGGGTTACGAAAGGGCTACGTAACTTCCCTTAACTAATTCTCTACCCCCTGGTTTTCAGTGGGATGGGCCCCGCCTCTCCCCAAATCCCAGTCATACTCTGTCAACTGGCTAATTACGTAAACGTTTGGTAACACCTTACGTAGATGTAGCATTGCTCCCTCGAGACATAGCTCGTCAGATTTGAGGAGCTGGAAATTATGCGCACCTTGCCCTTTTCCTAAAAGTCAACTCCTTATATATCTAGACCCTATGTGGAAGTCTCTCTTTTTTTCTTCTTCCTTCTCCCCCCAAATCCACACTTTTTTTTTCTCACATCAAGTTCGCGGCCAACAACAACTTCTGGTCAATAAATGATGTTTAGGAAGTAGTTAGGGCCTAGAGTAGATGCTCTGCAAAAGTAATTTGATAGATGCTCGCCGATGTGATGTACGTGTGCGCGAAAGGAGATAAGAATCACTAAAACTCAACTCCTTATAGATCTAGACCCCATATGGAAGTTTCTCTTTTTTCTTCTTCCTTCTCCCCCAAATCCCCACTTTTTTTCCTCACATCAAGTTCGCGGCCAGCGACAACTTCTGGTCAATAAATGATGTCTAGGAAGTAGTTAGGGCCTAGAGTAGATGCTCTGCAAAAGTAATTTGATAGATGCTCACCGAGTGTGATGTACGTGTGCGCGAAAGGAGATGAGAATCACTAAAACTCAACTCCTTATAGATCTAGACCACATATGGAAGTTTCTCTTTTTTCTTCTTCCTTCTCCCCCAAATCCCCACTTTTTTCCTCACACCAAGTTTGTGGCCAACGACAACTTTTGGTCAATAAATGATGTCTAGGAAGTAGTTAGGGCCCAGAGTAGATGCTCTGGAAAAGTAATTTGATAGATGCTCACCGAGTGTGACGTATGTGTGCAAGAAAGCAGATGAGGATCCCTAAAGCTCAACTCCTTATAGATCTAGACCCCATATGGAAGTCTTTTTTCTTCCTTCTCCCCCAAATCCCCACTTTTTTCCTCACATCAAGTTCGCAGCCAGCGACAACCTCTGGTCAATAAATGATGTCTAGGAAGTAGCTAGGGCCTAGAGTAGATGCTCTGCAAAAGTAATTTGATAGATGCTCGCCGAGTGTGATGTACGTGTGCGCGAAAGGAGATAAGAATCACTAAAACTCAACTCCTTATAGATCTAGACCCCATATGGAAGTTTCTCTTTTTTCTTCTTCCTTCTCCCCCAAATCCCCACTTTTTTTCCTCACATCAAGTTCGCGGCCAGCGAC